AAATTTCGAAGACCTTTTGACGTACATTCAAAGTTTGGAGAAGATGAGAGGACAATTCAAGGGCCGCGCGTACCCTGGGCATGGCCCAGTAATCGAGGACGGACCAAGCAAGATATTGGAATATATCCGACATAGGCAACAGCGTGAGGATCAGGTGATCCAAGTCTTGAAGTCATCCAGATCCTCGCCAGGAACCGAGGCGAGCGTCAACGCAGCCTATGACTGGACCTCCATGGAGATTGTCAAGATTATTTACAAAGATGTTCCTGAAAGTTTGCATATGGCTGCCAATGGCGGTGTTGTACAAGTACTCCACAAGTTGGAAGAGGAAGAAAAAGTCGTTGAAGACCCAAAGACCGAGAGATGGAGGCTCAGAAACCGCGCGGCTCTATGAAGCGCTTATAGCAGAAAGAAAACAGCTGAGGCCAGTGTTGGCAGGATTGCAGTATAGCCAAGTTGGCTCTATTGGATTCGGGTTGTCTAGTCGACGGTTTGAGCGAATCAACGCGAGATACAGGCATGACGAAGTATGAAATGGCATGATATCAGGCCACGCTCCTCAAATACCATGTGTTTGGTGCCAAATAGAGTGGTGAGAGTGATGTGCGCTGGGCTTTGACAACTCACTTGTACACAGTCTGTTACCCCACACAGCTTACATGCCAAGAGCTTACACAGCCAAAATACCACTCGGCGGCATATTCGGTAATATGCATAGCAAATAAGTTTGTGTGCTACCTGACGCTTGTATTTATGGATCGGCTGTTTTGTTACCATTTTCAATAACCTCACTGGCATCTTGGCCTGCGTCGCATGTGCGGGGGAGGCGCTGGTGAATCAGTGATAAGACCACTCGACAGTGGAGCGCAACACACTTGCGAGACACCCAGCACCCTTGATACAAACCCTGATACGCAAACCGGAGCCCAGTGCGTTTACTCGTCAAACAGCCCTGTTGGTGTGGCAGACGACAGCCTCGTGCGGGTTCAGTCGTGTGCCCGCTTCTAGCGACATGCGGTTCTGTATGTGGGATGCAAAAAACACGCCAATGAGATTATGCCTCGACGCACGGAGCGTTTGTCCGTAAGCAAAACCCCATCAGAGCCAGCCACCCAAGATCAGATTGAGTGCCGGCCTTTGCGGCAGTCAAATCAGAAGTCCACGTTTCGCAGGTAGTAGCACTATCAGAAGGTTGAGGAGGCCGGACCATCAGCCCATGCGTCACACATAGGTTTCGAAGATCGCGGAGAAGAAGTCAAAATCGATAGCCTGCCATCTGACGGTGAGTGGGGTGCAGGATGATGGGAAAGTTTCTGACCTCAGAAAGGCACGGGCAAGGGCAAGAACAAACGAGCAGTCGAGTCTCGAGCGGCCATCTCAGATCTTAAGCCCGAAGCCCGAGCGAGCATCCTTGGCGATCAGGTCAGAATGGATGGCACGGCATCGTTACACGCGCACGAGGGGGTTGGGCCAGCAAGTGCACAGCAAAAAGCGCTGTTTCCCAACACAGATCCTAGCCTTTTCTGGGCCCTTCGCTCGTACGTGTGACTTGTGTGCAGCCAGAAGTCACAAGTGGGCGGAAGGGAGGGGCGGTCAGGCTAGGATTTGCGGGGACATCGGACCAGACATGAGGGCATTCATAACTTCACCAGCAGTTCCGGCTTTTCCGAAGCCCTCGCTCGCCCTCACAAACGCTCGCTCCACCCCGGTCGCCCAGGTGTGGCGTGCTGTCTTTCTGCACGCCAAGCCTTATCCGCTTATTTCTCAGCCACTGAGATCGCCCGCGGTGGAACGCCAAGCGCATACCCCCGGCACGCATGTCGACAATCGTCGATGTTCAGCCTTGCCCGAGTTGCGATGCCGCCTGCGAATTATTAATCCCGTCAGTGTTGGGAAAACACCACTCCGAGAGCGGTCGTGGGCGGACGCATCTCCTGTGGGTTCTCAGCGACTCACAGACCACCGGTGTCCCTCTCGGGTGTGCTTATGTGAACAATCTGATACTTGATGTGGTGTAGTACGTGTAGTCCGCGTAGTCACTGCACATAATTTTCTCTGAGCGGATGAAACCCCCGGAGCTCAGGAGGCAGGAGCACAACTTTGAGTCAGACCCCGAGCAGTCTATACCAGTTCCATGCATGGTCTCCCCATGTGCTCGCCGTGCCTTTGCCGACAAGCACCAGTCGTCCGGTCCTGGGGCGTGGGACGTGGGCCACGGAGTATTCGGCGACTATTATAAACGTCATACCGCTCATGTCAGTTTTTCTGTTTGCGCTGCATAGTCTACCTATATATCTGCTTGCTCACCACAATAATCACCTTATTCCGCTCCTGTGACCTGGCTGCAGAAATAATCTCATTTGAGCTCTGATATCAGTCTCGCCCGCTTGGACCACCTGCTAAACTCTCTTCTGACGTCCAACGACTTTCTCACAATAACCTATGCAGCCGCCATCAGCGAAATCCGTGACTTTTTTTGGTGCCGTTCTGCTCGGACTTGCGTCCATTGCAGTCGCACACGGTCACGATGAGGATATGAATATGAATATGGGCATGCCCGCCATCGCAAAGCCAGCCATAACCTCCGGCGCGAATGGGACTGTAGTAGAGACCTACTTTCACCATACCGAACACTCCGGCCTACTCGCAGCGCACATTTTTCTCATGACTGTTGCATGGATTTTCATTTTGCCCATTGGTATACAGCTTCCTCAAGTTTTAAAAAGAAAAGAATGCTAATTTTATTAGGTGTCATGCTGTCGATTTCTCGATCTCGGTACAGCCTGTTAGTGCAATTCGTGTTCCTCGCAGTAAACGGAGCAGGGGTCCTACTGTCCACCATATACAACGCCACCACGCCAGATTTATATCCCAACAATGCGCACCATAAAGTGGGATGGATCTTAACATGGATCACTGGTGCGCAGGTTGTGCTGGGTGTTATCAGCGCATATACCAGACGAAAAGATGATCGCGGGGCTTTCATCCCGGTCTCGACTGCGAATATTGAGCAACATCAGCGCATCCATGATCTCGGCCAAGCGCAAATGTATCGCTTTTCAAATGACAGTGGGCAGGGCACAGAGCCCAACACTGAGTCTTTGAGAAGCCAGTCAATTTCTTCGACCAATTCAGATGACCTGGCTGATGTGCGCTTGGAGCACGAGGAGGAGCCTGATGAAAAGCATGGCTTGATGCATGGTAGCAAGGTCGACAAATTTTTGTCTAAGAAGATCCCAGGATTACTCTCCTCGAGAGTCTTGAAAGTTTTTCAGTTCTTCTATAACTTTGTCGATCGCGTGATCTTGATTCTTGGGTTTGTGGCGTTGACCACTGGGATTGTCACCTATGGTGGATTTTTCGTGAGTTTCGAGCCGAATGTTTGATTGGATATATACTGACTTTTCTAGATGGGTGCTGCAGTCTTCAGTGGACTTGCACATTTCATCAAAGGTGGTGTGTTCTTCTGGTATGGTATCTTGACTATTGGTCGCTGGGCCGGCTGTTTCGCAGATATCGGATGGGCGTGGAACATCAAACCAACCAAAGGAGGTCGAAGAATTACTGCAGAATTTGTGGAGAGCTTCCTAATATTCTTATATGGGTCTACGAATGTCTTCCTTGAGCATCTAGCTGCGTGGGGGAAAGCATGGAGTGCGCAAGATCTGGAGCATATTTCGATCACTGCTATGTTCTTTGGTGGCGGATTGGTAAGTGCTTCTCTCTTTAGAATTTGAAAAAAGCTAATACTGGACAGTGCGGTATGCTCATCGAATCAACACGCATTCGTTCTCTCCTGAACGCAACCAAACAAGGACCAGCTCAGCTTTCCTATCACTCAGACGAGCCGCAACTCGAAGAGCCGAAATCCTACGCCTTCCCCATGAACCCCATCCCAGGGCTCATCATCCTCCTCCTCGGCCTGATGATGTCCTCGCACCACCAAGAATCAATGGTTGCCACGATGATCCACGCGCAATGGGGAACTCTCCTTGTCGGAGCAGCTTTCGCAAGAGGTGCTACTTACATTATTTTCTACCTCAGTCCTCCGACTTCAATCTTACCTGGACGACCACCTACTGAGTTGATTACCGCTTTCTGCCTGATGGCTGGTGGCATGGTTTTTATGGCTAGTGTAAGCTTTTCAACCCCTTGATGATTTGACTAGGCTGACAAAAGTAGGCGCGAGACTTGACCGAAGCAATGGACGCCAATGGCCTGGACGCAATGTTCATCTTCACGGTCTCGATGGGCGTGATCACGTTCCTGATGGCGTGGATTATCGTCGTGGTTGCGATTAGAGGGTGGGCTGTGAGGAGGGAGAATAGGAGTGCTTTTGCGTACCGCCAGGTTGCGTGATTGGCGCTGAGCGCTTTATGCTTGCGAGCAGGCTATAAGTAAATGAGATGAATGTGAAAGGAGAGAAACGATGGAAGGAAAAGATGGATGGGGAGAGGATTTGATGATTTACGGCATTCATGGCGCACTATGATACCACCTTGATTTTCACGATGTTGATTGGAGGATATGAAGATAGATTAATGATAATATGCTTTCTACTCTAATTTTCGCTTTTTGTGACTGAGTCCGCGGTAAAGACATAAAAGGGTCGATTGATTTTTCTTAAAATGACCCTAGTCAAGCTGGACGTTGTAAAGGGTTCCCTCCTTAAATGTACGAGTCCGACCTTTGTACATTGAAAATCTACTGTCTTTAATCATTTGGGAAATACCAGCATACTGATATTCAAGCGCTTAGTTCTTTTGATCAATGTACGACTTCAGGCTGGGACATTGATACCGAGACAAAAGTTTCTCCATCTACGCCTATCCAAGGTGGGGTAGGCTGAGTAGTAAGTCCTACCATTGGCTCACTAGCCACTTCCGGGCCCAAATTCAGCCACTTTTCTTACTACTTTCATAAATTTAAATAAGAGAATTTTTGGCATTCGTCGCGGTATGTTATCCCCACGCCACAGAATCAATCTTGTTACTAATTCCACCCAGATGCCAGAGTGGTTAATGGGTAAGACTTGAATTATATTCGGTATCTTATGGTTTCGGCCTCGTAGGTTCAAATCCTGCTCGCGACGGACAAGCCCTCACTTTTTGCTATTTAAACCGGATGTTATTATTGTTGTTTGGTGTGTTGCTTCTTTTTCGGTTGGGTGCTGGCTCGAGGTTGTGAGGTTGTGGGTTCAGGGGCTTTAGCGAGGTTTAGCGGGTGGAGGAACGTCAAAGCAAGCTTTGAGCAGCGGAGGTGGAGAGATAGCTACTTCTTAATAAAATTGTCAATATACCTTAAAATATCTTTAGCAGCGTCTGCTTTGGCTTACAATGATTGAATATTTCAATTTATTAAAGGTGTATCGCCTTATAGTTCTGCTAGCAAGCAGGTATGTCAGATCTCAATTAACCAGCGTTATATGGAACAATCAAAATTGCAGTGGACGCGCGAAGCCTTTTCACAATGTCATTGTCCCTATCCAACCTCAAACATTCATCTAGACTTTGACTTTGCCGTATTAGGCTCTAGTTTCACAATTCCAGCAAAAGCTAAATTTTATAATTCAAATGTACCACGATTCGAGGAGGCATTCGAGGTAGAAGCCAGCTAGAAAAATGCTAAAATTTCAATGTTTGATACCAACTGAGTACATTGAATTTCAATGTCCCACAACTTTTAGAACAATGAGAAAATGATCTAATATAGGCTTGTACATCGGAACTTAATGTACCAGTTTTATCAAGTACATTGAAGTTCAATGTCCACTTTCCAGAACAATGAAATTCATAAATGTACCCACTTTGACTAGTATATTAGATCTCAATATCCCAGTCCTATCAAGTATATTGAAGTTCAATGTCCCCAAATATTCAGAATAGTGAAATCTAGCAATGTTCCGGCTTCGGCCCGTACATTTACTCTCAATGTCCTAGGACAATCTAGTACATTGGACTTCAATGTCCCCAGGTTTTCTGAACCGTGAGGACCTATCAATGTCCACTTTCCAGAACAATGAAATCTAACAATGTTTCGACTTCGACTCGTATATTGGATCTCAATGTTCCAACATCGACTTGTACAACGGGTCTTATTGTCCCAGTCCAATCCTGTACATTGAAATTCAATGTACCCGCAATTTCTTGAACAATGGAGACCTATCAATGGTCTAATGTGAAATTGTACATCTGATCTCAATGTTATAGCCTCGAGGCATCGGATCGAATGCCAATATCCTGCAACTGTTAGAACAATGAAAATATATCAAAGATCAATGCTCTACAACTTTCAGAACAATAAAAATTTATTTACCATCAATGTTCCCATATTAACTCATACATCGGATCTCAATGTTGAAATGCTTTCTACCTGTCAGCGTACGCTCATACCTGGACAATCTAACTCACATGGGCAGCCTCGAGAGACCGACCGTTGAATTTACCAGGATTTCCTGAAAATAAACGATCTGTACAAGTATAATAATGAGGCTGGAACATCACAGACGAAATGATACGACTTCTAGGGTTTTCTTAGAAGCGCGGAGGGCAATGGAGTCACTCTTCCAACAAGACTTGATAGATGGAAGGTCGAGCTCAGTGCATAGGCGAGTGAAGAAATGTATTAACATACTACCTTCCCACTGATTTTCAATGATATCCTCAGACAGTAGAAACCATGTAAGTGGAAGGCATGTAATTGGAAGCCCACTCTAAGCATCTTGAACTAAGCACTCAATCACCTTTCTTCCCATCTTTCTCAACACCAGCCATCACAATTCTCCTCTGCTCCTCCATCGAAAATAGAGAAGTCCCTTGCTGCAAAGCATTAATCAAAAGCGGCAACGCATCTTTGTTGAAATCATCCGCTCCTCGGAGACGATCGAGATCCTCAGAGAACTCCGTGGTTGCACGTTGGAGGTAAAATTTGGTGAATGCATCGTTCACTTCAGCGTCGCTCATGTCCTTGGACGAAGCAGGGACCTCCTAGAAATGGTCAATACAAGGCTCATCTACTGGCTGGGAATGAACTGCTACCGGCTTCTCATCCTCCTTCTGCGCTTTCACCTCCTTTCTCTCAGGCTCGCTGTCGCTGTCTGAAGACACTGAATATTGGTCAGTGCCACATCATAAGATTCTTATTGAGGATAATATACCCTGAGTCCTCGATTTTCTCTTCTTATGCCGCTTTGCTTTTGTAGTTGGCTTACTCTCCATCTTGTTGGTGGTATGGGGAAGGAAAGGCGAAAGTTTGGAAATTCGCTTTTCGGAAGTAATTTGACGTCACGTGCACCATCCCAAAAATCAATATCTTTCTTTGGGAGGTTATCGAATTATTACCTTGCTAATTTCCTAGAGGAATACGCTTCTCATTACTTTTCTCTGTAATTTCTCACCCGTGGAATTTCTGTATTTTGGATGAGTTGTCATCCGCAGAAATTTGCTAGTTCTGATCGTTAAGGGACTAGAATTTAATATGGTAGGTAGATTTACAAATTTTGGATGGAGAACTTCCATCTTCAATGGTTACATGGCCTGGAAAGTCTGAAATATGATGCATCTAACCTTATTCATTTCTGAGCTGCAGGATGCATGTCCTTCTCTATTTCCTATGGATCGATGGCCTCTTCAAGCTATCAGAGTTTCCTGAAACGGAAGCTACAGCCAACACAACGCCAGGGTTGAGTTCCTTCCTTCAATTGCTGTCTGTTCTTCCTGCCTGGCCATACCTTCCCTGACAATGAGAGTTTGCCAACCCTTTTCATCGTCTCTTTCCTTGACACTTTCTTCTGAGCAGCCATGATCGGCGCAACATCGCAATGCAACCATCAAAACTCCGCTACCTCAACTAGCAAGCACAATTGAATTCCTATTGTCTCATGACCTTCAAAGGGTTCGAAAACTCAGAGTGCCCTTATGCCGATTGTCCCAAGAACTGCAACCATTCTCCGCCAATAAGTCGTACTTCGTCAACTGCGGACACTCCCACCCAGGACCACAAGGCCCCGGCTCGTCCTTCAACACGAAGCTCATCTCGCAAAAGCTCAGGCACCACACCGGCTGACGGAGCGTCCGATACCTTTTCATCACGCACATCAAGTCGTGATCAACCCACCAGCACCGCAAGTACCTCTCCTTCGCCAGAGAAGCAAGAGGCAGAGTGAGAATCCCGCCAGGCAAGATTCACCGTTGCTAACCATAATCAGCGACAAAGACAAGTATCGAGATTCTGTTTATCAACCATCCTTTGCTGCTGGAGGTCCAGTAGACTTGACCAAAACCTTTGCACCGACAGCTCACGGGACATTTTCGTTTGGAGGAAGTAAGGGGAAGAAGCGGTAAAGGCAGACATCTCGAAGCACCTCTTTCCAATATCCCACAGAGGCTGTTACAATGCCTTCTGATGCTAGAGACGAAAACTTGCCTCTCGCAGGTGGCGAGGCATCTGCCATTCAAGAACAGAATACTAATGTACCAACTCAGACCGATGGAACTGCCACCCCTACACGAGCTACAGAAGCAGGCGGTGCAGTCACTGACGGTGTTTCTGCAATTCCACTGCCACCTGCAAGTGCTGTTGCTGCACCCGTTCAGGACGCCATCGAGGGGGAAGCAGAGACTCCCAAAGCTACAACTTCAGCGACTCCTGTTCCAGATCCTCTAGGTGCAGCACCTGAAGGAGCAGCTCAGACCCCAAATGCGAATGAAAGTGCGAATGGACATGCTGGTGATAGTGTGCGAGGTTTCACAGATGGATTAGCGAACGGCAGAAGTGACCCACTATATGCCAGACGACGAAGCGGAACCGTACGTGACTACCTTATCTTCTAATTGCCAATGTTCCTCGAATGGTAGAACACCCAGACTACCGTTATTGTCCCCGGAGAGCTGGGAGTCTTGCCAAAGAGCTTTTCTATACATTCAGTTCCATCATCATATACTGACTTGGCAGATTAGGGTTCGAACCCTATGACCGAGAGCATGCAGTCGGTGCTCCCATTGTCCCAATCCCACCGGAAATTTTGTACCGTTCAGAAACCGCCCTTGGAGTACCTCTTATAAACCCGGTACCACCACCTCTTCCGACAAGCATAGCCAGCTATCAACGGCGATTGTCCAAGGATAGTTTGGAACAAGTTGAAAAGCAAAGAGCATTGAACAGAGAGGAGAAACGGGATCATTAATTTTGCAAGGGTTGCTTGGAACTTCGAAAGAAATTATTTCCTCACTGGAGGTCCCGTCCGCTTCGCCAGGAAAGGGTATTATTTGCATAATTATATCGTCATTGCTAAACAGTCACATTTGAGGGCGAATTGGACCGCGTCGGCCTATAGTCTCAATAACAAAGCTAGTATTGCATTGAGTCTTCCTTCAAAGCGTGGAAGTTGTATGTGACAAATGCTATTCGATTTCTCCACTTGTATCCATCATCGACGCTTCAATTATGCAGCAATCGTGACTTCGACCTCGACACCAGCCTCAATGTTGATAATGATCTGCTTGACAACCTCGGTAGGAGCGTTAAGACTGCACGCACGGTCAGCACCTATCCAATATCTCCCCAGTACAAATTTCAACTTACTCAATCAGACGCTTGTGAATTCTCATCTCGAAAGTATCCCAGGTCTTGGACCCTTCACCACAGGGTGTCTTTCGGGTGGTGACCTTCAGGGTCTTGGTCGGGAGACGGACTGGGCCCTTGACACGGAGCTCCTTGCCCTTGGCACGCTCGATGAGCTCCTGGCAGACCTTCTCGAGGGATTGGACTTTGCGGGAGGTCAGGGTGATGCGGATCTTGTGAGTTTTCTGCGCATTTTCAGATCAGCAGATATTCTAGGAGGGAGAAAAGCCGCGCATACGGGGCCCTCGCCGAACTCCTTTTCTGGCTTTTGGTAAGACATTTTTGCGGGGAGATTTCCTTCACGACTCGAACGTTTCAGTTACGGCAAAGTGATGAAGGTGATCGTTGTGGGTTGCGTGGTCGATGGGGGAACAAGAGACGTCGTCGAGAATTGAGAATTTGGGGTTGTGGGCGGGAAGTCTTGGCGTGGCGGTTTTAGCGAGGCTAACCTTGTTGGGGTGGAGGCTTCTT